ACACACACACACACAGACACACACACACAGGCGATAACCGCCCTGATAACTTAAGCAAGAAAAACACAGCACCAGGCACTCTGTTCTCTCTATAACTCCCCCTCCTCAGCCCGACACACACACAGCCACTATATTAATGAACACGCACACAGACACACAACGTTATTAAGGAAGACTTGAACATCTGCTCGGTGCGTCTCTCTCTCTGTTGTGGGGTTTGTTTTTACCCCCCCCCCCCTCTCTCTCTTCTCAGAATCGCCCGACAGTTGCAGCGACCCGCGAAACGAGCAAAGTTCCCTTTTTTTATGTCATTTCAAGACGATCACACTCGTACATCACAGGAAACCTGATAAAAATCCACTTCTGGACTGATTAGTCGGTCGCGTCACCTCAGGTTGAACCCTCGGATTGTTGAGCTCTCCATTTTCTTTTTTCTTTTTTTGGGTTAAATTTAAACAATCTGATCAGTGGTCAAACAGGAAACTGTGTGCGATGCACAAACAGATGACGGAGGCCGTGACCTCTCCGGGTTTCGTTATGATGGACAGATCTGAACGTTACGTGTGCAGCAGTGTTGGTGAAAATGATTTCAAACAAACAGATATTTGACAGGATCAGCTTCTCTCGCGCTGCTCTCCTGTTTCTCGTGGCTGTAAATGAATGTTTGGGCTCATTTTGGCGGTTGGATGTAACGCCGCCGCTTCATGCGTCTGTTGACGTCGACCGTTTTCTCACAAGCTGCAGCGCTGGTGGATTATAAAACCCACTTTGTCGGATCCACAGATTTGTTTCTACAACACAGACGGAGATCTTTGAATAAATGCTAATTGCAGACATGTGCCACATCATCTTGGTTTAGAGGACGACATGACTCAGAAAAGTGAGACTAATATCACTGATCTCCATCTCCTGAAATATAAATAAAAACCAGCAGCTTGAGATCACGTTGGATTTCACCAGAACCATCATGGGTTTGTCCTCCAGGATATTCAGACGCCAAAGAAGGAAACACATCCAAACATGATGCTTGGCTGCTCTCGAGATAAATCAATCCTCCATTAGTGTGTGTGTGTCATGTTCCGAACTAAAATCCTAAACGGCAAATCTTGAGAACATTTAAACTTCAATCACAAAACTCACTTTGCCACATTTTAGATCGCGGCTTCATCTGCATCTGATAAACTGCCCCCGATCTGACCCCACGAAGAGACACACACTAAACGTCCCTGTGTGTTCCAGGAGTCTCTGTGTGCGTCTGTGTGTGTCTGTTGGTGTGTGTTTGAATTTACATTGGCTCTGCTGCACCAACAGTGATCGACTCCTTCTGATCATCTTTTCAACTTCTGACGGCATTTCTCACTATTTTTATAATTTTTTTCAGCCCAAACTAAACAAATGGAGAAAACAATATCTTTTTTAGGATTTCACGTAAACTGATAATCTGATAATAATGATGGTGAAATGATGAACTGATAAAATCTCACACTGACATGTCTCAGTAGTGCTGTCGTCCTGTTTGCAGTCTTTTTCTTTCAGTGTGTAAATATCATTTGCTTAATTGACGCTCTCTTCTGTTAGACTGAATCGTTAAAGCAGTGTGTGTGTGTCTGAATGTCTCCAGTGTGGACACAGAGACACGACTGCTGCTCAGGCTCCTTCGTTTCCTCCAGTTCCCTTTTACCCGCGACGCCAAATCACAGCAACAGGTCTGCGAAGACGATGATCTTGAAATGTCAGGGAACAGATATGTAAAGAAACGAGGCAGAAGACAGAAGAGGCAGGAACGTATGGCGGGCTGTAGAAGTTGGGAGGCGGCGATATTGTCGGGTGACTTTGCCCTGCAGGTGTGACAGGGGAAGTTCAGCTTATCAGATTGATGGAGACTGTCTTGCGACGGGGGGTTGTTGGCTGGTAGAAAAGTGTCTGTCGACTCCTCCTGATACCTGCCTCCCTGTCTGAGATGATATGGGAGATAATATTGATAATATTANGGGGGGGGGTTGTTGGCTGGTAGAAAAGTGTCTGTCGACTCCTCCTGATACCTGCCTCCCTGTCTGAGATGATATGGGAGATAATATTGATAATATTAAATGCAATAACTGTGTCTCCAGCTCCCCTCCCTCGCTGCAGCCCCTGCAGGATAAAATCAATGTGCCATTCAATGTGATTTATAGCTGAAAATAATGGCACTGTTTAGGCAGGGGGGGGTTAAATGTGTGTGTGTGTGTGTGAGGGGGGGGGGGTCCTGCTTGCTTTAGACTGTGTACATCCATGTTGCTGAATATGAGTGTTTGCGTGTGGATGAGGTTGAAAGGTGGATGTGACATGAAGATGGATTGTGCGTGCGTGTGTGTGTGTGTGTGTGTGTGCGTGTGCGTGTGTGTTGATTTATTTGACAACGCTGATCCAATCTCTCAACTGTTGCATTAATAACGATGGGGTGTGTCCGCGTCACGTGGTCGCGGGGCGTTTATGGCCACTATTGATCGGGAGCTATCGCTGTTTATCGAAGTGGGAATGCAAGAGTAAACATGGTCTTTGTGCAGACGGCTGAGGTGTTATCAGGGGGGGAGGGGGAGGGGGGGAGGCTGGAGATGAGGAGAGCTCCTAAAAGAATGCGAGGAGGAGGAGGAGGAAGAGAAGGGCAGACGTTACGAGAAGGATGAGGATTGAGACAAAGGACGGAGGGAGTCAGGAAGTAGAGGAAGTGATTTTTAAATACAGAGTCACAGTGACGTCATGTTAATAAAAACCTGGAGCGGACACAGAACGTGATGGAGGAGCGCTCAGCTCATGTTCAACAATTCAAGTTCAACTTTGACCCTCGATAGCCACCTCTCATGTGTGTGTGTGTGTGTGTGTGTGTGTGAGACCGGGCCGACCCTGACCTCCTCCTCACATGGACTTTGTTGCTCCACATACGTCGTCACATGACTTGTCGGCTGATTCCGAAGGTCTCCAGCATTAGTAGAGTTTGATACGGCAGCACAAAGATCCTTTGATGTGGTTGGTCAATGTTTGTGATCCACTGTGACCTTTACCCTCCTGATGATGATGAGGAGGAGGAGGAGGAGGAAGATGAACGAGCAGAGACAGATGTTCACCTCAGATAACCAGAGGAGCTGTGATGTAACTATTAATCTGATCTCACTAATCAACAGTCCTGCTAATAGAGAGGATGAACTGATACCAGGGAGGAGGCAAAGGTCAGGGTTCACACACACACACACACACACACACACACACACACACACACACAGGTCCAGCCACGTGCACAACCACGTTGTGTTTGATCACTGAGCAGGAGTCTGTGTAATCATCTTGATCAATGGCAGGGATATCACTGCTGATTAGAGGAACACAGGCAGCCTCCGTCTCTGCTGAAGGTGACAGGATGAAGGGAGGAGGAGGAGGAGGAGGAGATGATAGAGAGATTGAAGAGAGAAAAAAGCGAGCCACCTACTTTCAGTGAGGAGAATGACAGGAGAGGGAGGGATGCTGGGTAACGGATGAAGAGAGAATGAAAAGAAAAATAGGTGGAAAACAAAATAAAAAAAAACGAGGGTGAAGGAGCAGAAAGTGGAAAAGTCGTCTCAGGCGACTCTTTGATTCTGGAGGTGCAACGAAAATCAAAGGTTTGATCCGGTGTGGTCGTGTTACACAGCTCAGGGAGTCATTTCACTGCTGCTTTTGATCAGTAGACAGGAACAGCCACTACCCAGACACACACACACACACACACACACACACACTTTTGTCCCTCGTTTAGCTGTGAAACCCTTTTGTGACATTTCGAACCGGGGACTCGATGATATGTTTTAAATAACGTGTTTAAATGTGTTGTCGTGTGAATCTAGAGCCCAAGACGCAGGACTCGCGAGGAGGCGCCAACAATGAAGATGAGGACGGGGACGAGCGAGGTCGGAGACACAGCGGTGGGGAGGAGGACGAGGAAGGGGAGGACGAAGAGGAGGCACAGTGGAGGGGTCCAGGTCAGTATGCTCACGGGGTTCCCAGAGAACATGGACGATGTGAATGTTACCGAAAGCAAACAGAGAAAGAACCCGACTCGTTTCTCGAGATCAATCTTCTGCAGCCGTGACGGGACGAGTTGGGTTTGTCCGTCCAGCTTTTTCTGATTGCATGAACCTGAAGTGTTCAGTTTGTCTTTCACATATTAACAACATACATATAAAAGTCTCCGGAGCGTTCACATTACGAAGGACGTAACACCTTCGGTTGTAGAGATCACGTTTTTGTTTACAGAGCAGTGACGCTGGCGTCGGCCCGATCCAAAGTGAAACTCCGGAGAAAGTCCGGAGCCTCTGATTCAGACATTCGTGTTCTCACATGTGATCAGTGAAGGTCCGACGGCACAGTTCGTTCGTGTGTTGATGTTTCTTGTGAGCATCTTTAAGAACCGGTTGTGTTGTTGTACCGTTCTCCTGTAGGAGATGTGAGTGTGACAGATCAGAGTGAATGTATTCACGTAACACACACACACACACACACAGAGAGAGAGAGAGAGAGAAGTATAAGAGGAGATAAGTAAATCGCCATAATTTTATTATTTATTTCCGCTCTTATCGAGCTGTGTTTGGTTATTTATTTCTCTGTGTCTGTTGTCTTCAATGAGTTAAACAATGCACGAAGATTACCGCTCTATCTCACATTATTTCCTTTTCAAGCTGTGCACGTTTTATGTACGTCTCTGCACGTGTGTGTGTGTGTGTGTGTGTGCGCCCGTGTATTTTAATTCCTCTGGTGGGGAAGAGAGGATGTGTTCATTATCGTCCTGTCCCAGCCTTGTCCCTTTAACAGTAATTGGAGCGATATTAATTGCTGCGCGGTGGCTGGTTGATGGTAGCACTATGATGCGCACTGATAGGGCCCTTGGTTTTTTTTTTTCCTTCCTTCCTCTCCTCCTCACAAACTAACTGCCGGGTGAGTGAGGCAGGGGAATGGATGAGAGGGGGAGGGAGGCAGGGGGGAGAGAGAGTAAGGGAGAGAGATAGCCCCTCTATCAGCTCCGGAGCAGGCGCTGTCTTTATCAGGAGCACGATTGGCAAAAAGGAAACTTTGACCGGTCTGAATTTTTCTCTTATCGTCAAGCCTCCCCTTCCTCCCTCCCTCCCTCCTTCCCTCCCTCCCTCCCTCCATCCATCCACCTTCTCCTCCTCTGGTCTCTCCATCACCACTAACAACCCTGTTAACAGCCCACCACCCCTCCTCTCACACCCTCCATACATCTCTCCCTCTTTTTCTCCATCTTGTCATTGTTTCCCCGTCTCTTCTTCTTTGTCCTGCGCGTCACGTGGGACCAGAGTCAGCGGCTAATGTGCTCTTGTTCTGACGGAGTGTTCTCCATGTATCACACACATTCCCATGAACAGATGAGAGGACGAGTGCACTGGCTGCTGTGGAAATGAACAGGGGGCATGTTTTTTATCTGCGGGGAGTTTTGGCATTCCACTCGTTTCTCACTGTTTTTAGACGCTGGCGCTCGAGGGACCTGAAGTTTCAAGCTTTTTAATCTCATGAGGTTTTTCAGTTCGGTCGCTCCGAGGCCTCTGGTGCCTGTGGAGCGGTTAGTGTCACTTTAACCTTCATGCAGATCACTCGGTCTTTGTCTTACAGGATGTGTATTTGTTGTTTCACACCCTTCCACACTTTGCACAATAAACTTTTCCACAAGCAGCGCTCCTCTGGTATTTGACGTATCGCTAATGTAAACTTGGTCGCTGTCTACCGGCCCGGCCGGCTTAGAGGAGCTTTGTCAAACAAGGGATCGTTTGTGTTCTTGTCTGGACAGAGATGTTTTTAAAGCAGAGGGGAAAATATCCGCTCCGTTCAGAGAAGGAATTATTTTATTTAAAGGTGCAGTGTGTAGAATTTAGTGACATCTAGTGGTGAAGTGTCATGTTGCAGCTGAAAGCTTCAGTTGTTATAAAAACTCAAAAGGTTTTAGTTTGTTCAGTCTGGACTAATGTAAAAAACATGGCAGCCTCTGTAGAGAGGGTCCCCTCCATGTAAATATAAAGTATTTAAATATAAAGTATTTAAATATAAAGTATTTGAATATAAAGGATCTTTTCTGGGGTAAAGAAAACTACAATTCATATAATTTAGATGAAACTAGTGAAAACATCATGAGGATTATTCTACATATAATTTCTTTCACCTTAATTTTACACACTGGACCTTTAAGTTGATGTTGTGTTTCTTTTAACGTCCGTCTCCTGTGTTGGATTGAATCAGTTATTTCAAAATCTTTATTTTTCTGTGTCACAGAATTTGTTTTTCATTGCAGAGAATATCGCAAAATAAAAAATTCAAAGATTGTTTTTAATATTTAAGACAAAGAAAAGGATCAAATTCTCACAACCTGAAAACAAAAACATCTTTTTTATCAATAGGTTTTTTTATTATAGGATTTATTATCTTGTACAGCTGTAACATTTTAAATGTCACGTTATTATAAATCTTTGTTTTACCATCATGTTTTCACACAGTCTCATGTAATAAATAGTCTTATTCACTATGAGTCAATCAATTCGATTTGATTTGTGAGATTAATTTTAGTCTGAGATGCTAAAGTTAAGTATAAAGTGTAAAGTTCCTCAGTTTCTCTTTATTTTCTGCTCAGTTTGTTTTCTAACCTCATGATCTTTAACTAACTTATTTAAATAATTCCTTGTCTCGGTCTCGTTCTGATATAAACATGAAACAGAGAAAACAACAGCAGACGATTTAAATTCCTCCTTTTTCTTCCTGCTCTAAGATAATAACAGTTCATTACTGGACAATCCGCTGTTTGACACCGTCTCCTCGTAACGTAATGAGTTGTTCACACGTCAATCTGAATAAATCCCTTCGTCATTGATGATAGTCGGGGACATTCTTTTTGTTTTTGCTCCACAAATTTCGGCCAAATGCGTCGATTGATGTGAAAAAACATTCGAAAAATAAAGGGACAATACGCGTCTTTAAATGTCTCGGGGTTCTGCAGTTTGCACTTTCATCGTTCATCTTGAAACGGCCGAGACGTCGGGTGCTTGCGTGTCCTCGGTCACTTTGACGAGGCTGCGGCGGTGGCACGGTGTTGAGGAGAAGTCTAGGTGGGAGCTCGCTCCTATCAGGGATGGAAAGATATGCTAAAGCCGCCTTTTTAATCTTCAGTGTGTCCATACTGCATGATATGCAAAATAAATTATGAGGAGGAGGAGGGGGAGGAGGAGGAGGAGGAGGAGGAAAGTATCTTCTGAATGACCTTGCGAGCTGCAGGGTTCAATATTTTCTCCCTCGCTGCTTAAAATTCTTGATATGCAAAATGGGTGTCACAGTAATCCCTTGTCATTCCGGCTGGCGGTCGCCACACATTCTCTCCTTTCAGCGCTGCGAACACTGTCAGAGGAGGAGAGGACGTTCGGCCGAGCGGCTGAAGTGTTTTATATCCGAGGAAACGTCGGAAATAACCCAAACATCCAGAAGATCGTGAATATGAATGAAAAGGAAAAGGACGAATGGTGTTTGGAGGTTTTACACGTGACGGCTCCCGAAAGTGAAGCCACGTTATTTAGATTGCCCCCTGGTGGCTGGCTTCCGTATAGGTCCTGAACCCTGCCTCCTCCATGTTAGCAGATGGGACATTACGTTAATTAAATGTTTCTTAAAAGATGGTTTCTGCCGTTTTAGCCAATTCATATCGAACTGATGTTCAAGTGTTCGTGTCAAGTTTGGTTTTCAGAAATAAATGTACGCAGGTTATTTATTTAAATGTTAGAACCCATGAGATAACGCGGCCTCGTCTTTGTTCAGTGGGAGGGATCGGGGACGTGTCCATCTCCTTTCAGTCTTTGGTTTTATCTCACTCGGACAAAGTAATCAGGGTTCACCTTATACTTTTCAGGCACGATATGCAAATGAGACTCCGCCAACATCTCGCTCTCCTCCACCTAAATAAACGAGGTGCTGTCAGCAGCATCATATGCTCCAGTGTAATTCAACACACACACACACACTCACAGAGGTAATAATAATAACCACAGCCAGTAAAATGCTTGTTACAGGTATTTTAAATAACTCTGTTGGGGAGGATAAGCAGTGAGGAATGCTGGGTAAGCAGGAAAACATTCACAGAGCCTGGCTGCTGCGTAAGGCGTGTGATTGGTCCCATAGAGGAACCACTTCCCCATTCATGTCCCACACTGAGGGAGGACGAACTCGCACCAGGAGGGAACCACTTCTTACACTGTTTAACAGCTGTGTTGTTGACATAACAGATTATTTGTCAAGTCAAAATACCAAATGTTCTTTTGTCGTGGTTTCTCCGCCGCGGGGATTTACCGCTTCTCTTTGTCTTGAGCGATAATAAGATTTAATTTAAGAAAAAAGCAATTTGAAGACGTCAGCTGGGACTGTGTGAATCTGTGACGATCATTTTTTTTAAGTCTTCTGCTTATTTTGAGTCCAAACGATTAAAAGTCGAGGAAAATAACCAACAATTAAAATGAATGGTTCACTCGACAGATTATACAATCTTTAGGTGAATGGTCATGAACTCAGAATGTAACAGCAGCAAACACTTGACATGATGATGAGAAGATCTGGATCTCGTTATTGGGAGTACAAATACATTCTAATCCTCATTCACAGCTGATGTTGCTGTTAAAATAAAGGACAATGATTCCTAACACGTCGTTATCAAAGAGAAGAACATCTGTCGCGTTTCGACTTTGAAGACTTCTTCTTCTTGAGTTTCGTGCTCTTCGTGTTTTCTGGTTTTTCTGGTAAACGAGCAGTAAAGAGACGTTAAACTCAACGTTGGGACGAGATGTCGTGTCCAGACTCGTCAACGTCAGAGCCGGTGGAGCGATGAAGATTTGGATGGAGGGATAGAGGGTCAGAGGAGAGGAAGAGGAGAGGAAGAGAGCAGCTGAGGGAGAGGGGGAGAAGAAGGTGAGGGAGGTAAGAGGACCATGAGAAGTGGTTT